AAAAAATTGCTAAATGCAATCCCCGTATAAAGATTGCTAAAGGCAATCCCCGTAGATTAGTGTAAGGATTCTGTGTGCGTGGTCTAAATACTAGAGGCGAATGTAGCATTGTTACATTGGCCTGGGTACTAGAGCACGAGGGTCACAAGGGTAACGAAATGGCAGATGAAAGGGCCAGCAAGGGTCATCAATGCCATTCATAGGCCCAGAACCCTTCTGCAGCGTTGCAAAGACAGTTACGAGAATGGCCACGAAAGGATAGGTGGCCAACAAATCTCTAGAATGGTAGAGAAACTTACAGGGGCGCTATTTTGTACAATCGTCGCTATCGGTAAGTTACCGACAGCTATCGGTACGTACAACCAATGAGCGTTGTGGTGATTGTTGTTGTCATAGTTACCGATCGGCCCTATGGCAGATATCGCAAATTTGTACCGACGACTCTCGGTATCTCTACCGTGAGGTTAACAAGGGCACGGTAGAGACACCGATCCTCGTCGGTACAAATTTGCGATATCTGCCATAGGGCCGATCGGTAACTATGACAACAACAATTAACACATTTTACTATATACAAATACGTATCGAGAGCTGTCGTAACTTACCGATACCGACGATTTTACTGTACAATCGTCGGTATCGGTAAGTTACCGATAGCTATCGGTACGTACGGCCAATGAGCGTCGTGTTGATTGTTGTTGTCATAGTGACCGATCGGCCCTATGGCAGATATCGTGAATTTGTACCGACGACTCTCGGAATCTCTACCGTGAGGTTAACAAGGGCACGGTAGAGGTACCGATTTTTGTCGGTACAAATTTGCGATATCTGCCATGGGACCGATCGGTAACTATGGCAACAACAATTAACACCCGTTTTTACTATATACGCTATATACAAATACTTATCGAGAGCTGTCGTAACTTACCGATACCGACGATTTTACAGAATAGCGCCCCAGGGGCTATGCAACAAGTTGTTGCATCCACTTGTCCAGAAGTCAGGAAAAGACATGAAATAGGACAATAAACTAACAAACCTCAAAGAAGCATCAAAACTGTCGATATTTGAAAAAGGTGTACGAGGGTTGTCTTTCATATTTTGCATATACAAACATAGCAGACATCTGTCAACATATTCAAATGTCAAAATTAACTGTCATCTTTAGTTAAAGCCGAAGGTTTAGACCGCTTCGTTTAAAGCTGTATTTAAACTAAAATTTTGAAGTTGACGAGTAAGCCGAAAAATGGAGTTAAGCCTAGAAAATTTTCACGCAATAATTTTTTACAATTTTCGAAGACAGTTGTCCCAACAAGAATGCCCTGCCGAGTTGGTTTCTGTTTTCGGCAATGAAGCACCACATCTGTCGGCAATTTCTCGTTGGTATGGAGAATTTAAACGTTGACGGATTAGTCTTAGCGACGACCCATCGACGACCCAAGAAAAATCTACGAAGAACAGCAGTCACCCAGGAAAGCGTCTATGCTGTACGTAAGATGATCCAAGACGGTCAACATGTCAAGTATCATGAAATTAAAGAATCATTTTTTAATTTTTTATATCATTTATTAATAAGCTTCTTATATTGCTAGAAAATTTAATTTTAAAATTTCATGTAACTCATCCTCAAATCTTATTAATCCAAATGACAGAATCGTAAATTTACTAATATTATTTTATTTAAAGCACTGAAATTAAAAATTAACATTAAATCTAGCAAAGTTTCTTCGATATTTATTTTTATTACAATTCTCTCTTCATAAATTTTATCTGTAAAATACTTTTTCGCAATTATCTATAAACTGGAGGTTTTATTGACGATTTGCTTATCTCAAGAAATGGCACATTACTTTTTATTTCATTAAATTTTATGTAAGGTTTGGCACTTAAGGATTATCGTTTCAATATTTGCGGTAATATAACCTTAATTTTAATTAATTTTATAATTGTAAAAATTAAAAATTACACTTTAACTGATTTTAATGTTAGTTGAGTTGAAATTCTTAGAAGTTCCTTTCAGCATTAATATCACGCCAATAAAGTTTATTTATCGATACATTAATTATTTATTAGTATTTTCCGGGGGATGTCTTACTATTGATATTACATGTACATTTTCTTAGCAGTCGCTGGCAGTCATTGGCATTAGTTTTTGGCAGTTGTTGGCATTTTATAATTTATTTTTCATTGGCCAAATATTAAGACGTTGTTTTGCATAAGACATTATCATTTGAAGGTATTATTTAGAATTAAAAAATATAGAAGATTTGGTTTGAATTATTTTTGTTGAGATATGTATATAATATATAATACAGGATGAGTCTTAAATAAGTGAAATATTTTCAGTGGTAGTATATTTCGACCCCAGGAAGAAGTTTATGAGTTTTTTTGCAACAAAAAGAGGTCGAAAATAGTGCTTTCTTTAATTTTTCTATACAGGGTGGCGCAGCTCATTCACCTCGGTTGATTATACGACAACCGACAGATGTAGAAACAAAATATTTTATGGGTATATAGAGAGAGGCAATGTGCATAATTTAAAATTATTTTCAAATATAACAAGATCCAAACCAATGTTATATTTTTTCTTATGGAACACCCAGTATTTTATTTCTTTTTTGAATTCTTGGGCATAAAATAAGGCATTTATTATAAAGGTTTAATATGTTTAAATCCTTTAGGTTTTGAGATATTTAAATATATTTAAATATACATGCTATAATAAAAATTTTTCTCAACATCCTGTACATTACTTTTCAGATCTAATTCTTGTGGTGACTTTGAAGCCAGAGAAATAGACTTTACTAAAAAAATTGATTTCTTCCTTAAATGTATACAGGGGTATCAAAAATTGGTAGTCTATTTTAAATATTTATTTTACATAAAAACTTCCTTATTTCAAATGCAACACTATGTATTTTTTAAAATAAGTCGAAGCAGATTTAAATGCTCTGTCAAACTATATTAGGGTTTCCTATACCTATCTGGCTCAGATTTTGAATAAAAAGCGATTTTTCAATAAAATGGCAATCAAGATGGCCGGTGTCGCCATGGCAATTTGCTAATGACAGTTAGTAGCTATTTTCAAAATCGACATTAGTTTATGGCCTTTATTTAAATTTATAACAGTTTTCTTTTATTTAATTTACCTAGTTTAATAAGTAAGTATTTATTATTTTATCAAGAAAAATAAACAAGCAGTTCTTTGATTTATATTACAATGACTTGTAGTTATATTGGATTTTCTATAAAAGAACCAATTAAGGCAAATTCATTTTCTTCACTTCGACAGGTTTCTGCCTAATAGGTTTTTCATATACCACACTATCAGCTCTGCGAAATAGGAGAAGTAGTTTTTCAAAGGAACGCTTGTCACGAAAATTCCTATTATCTATCTATATTCGTATCTATCTTTGAGCATAAACCCTTGAGGCCAAGAAGCAAATAAAATCACTAGTGACATATCTATTCCTTCCCCCAGCAGATACTGCTTCATTTTTCTTGATAAAATAATAAATACTTATTTATTAACATTATTGTAGGTAAATTAAATAAAAATAACCTGCTATAAATTTAAATAAAGGCCATAAACTAATGTCGATTTTGAAAATAACTACTAAGTGTCACTAGAAAATTGCCATGGCGACACCAGCCATCTTGATTACCATCAGATAGGTATAGGAAACCCTAATATAATTTGAAAGAGCATTTAAATCTGCTTCGACTTATTTAAAAAAATACATAGTGTTGCTTTTGAAATAACGAAGTTTTTATGCGAAATAAATATTTAAAATAAACCAGCACATTTTGATACCCCTGTATACATTTAAGGAAGCAATCAAGTTTTTTAGTAAAGTTTATTTCTCTGGCTTGAGGGTCAGCACAAAAATTAATTCTGAAAAGTAATGTACAAGGTGTTGACAAACTTTTTTATTATAGCATGCATATTTAAATATCTTTAAATATTTCAAAAACCAAAGCTTTTAAACATATTAAACCCTTATAATAAATGCATTATTTTACGTCCAAGAATCCAAAAATGAAATAAAATACCGGGTGTTCCATAAGAAAAAATATAACTTTGGTATAGATCTTAGTTCTGACACACCCTGTACATTTCAAAATAATTTTAAATTATGCGCAATGTCTTCCCACATATAGTCATAAAATATTTTGTTTCTACATCTTTCCGTTTTCGTATAATCAACCGAGGCGAATGAGGTGCGCCACCCTGTATATATTAGAAAACTTTTTAGAACTGCCTGTTCACTGCAAATTTTCCCACGGTATCATTTCTTAACATCTGATGGTTACGGCATTGCTCTATGGTTAAGACACTAAAAAGGGATGCAAATACAGAAAAAAACTATTTTTTTAAATAAATCATTTTTTTTTAATTTTCAAACTTGAATAACTTTTTTTTAAATTTTCACTTATTTAAAACTTAGTCTGTACAACTACTCTTGTATATTGAAGTGTTATAATTTCAAGTAAACCATATGCGAAAATATCAAAAGATTTTTATGAATTTGATGTGTGATTCTATTCAGTTATAATATAATAATATGTGATTCTATTCGAGTGTTATTTTTTATCGAGCAAAGTAAAAGAATACCGAGAGTGCCATTTAAAAATCATAAGTTGTAGTCATTTCCGGTGAAACAAGAAGTGACCGAAAACAATTGAATAAGTCAATCAATCCTAATTTATGTCATATACTAACATACCAAATCTCGTTTTTTTAACTGAAAAAATAAAAAAGTAATAGGGGTGAGCCATTTTTGAAACGCACCAGGTAAATATATTTTTCAGAAATATTGGGTTACTAATTAAAACTAACTATAATGTTAATGAATAAAATAAACTGAAATTATATTTCATTTTTTAAGATATATGCATGTTTTTGAGGGGTACTTCAAGTCTAATTATCGTATTTAAATAACATTTTTTAATAGAATAATAAGATACTTTATAATAAACACGTTATAAACAATATTCTTATAGATAACTGCATTATTATTGATATATCATCAAAATACTTCAAATATGATTGCTTATAAATATTTCCATATTTTTTACGAGATGACATAATACTACTTAAGATATAAGAATTCCATTCAGAGTAAGCAGTTATACATTTTTATACACTCATTCTGTAACGATGTTTCAGAGAACGTTCTTAATATTATATTGTTTGGCAGTTTCGTAGTAAGTAAACCAAATAATATTTATAACATAATTTTAACGAATGCATTGTAGTGTCATTGCTGATGACTATGTAGTTAGCAATCGACGTTTTCCAAAAGATTTCAAATTTGGAACTGCCTCTGCTGCCTATCAAATCGAAGGTGGTTGGGATGCCGATGGAAAAGGAGAAAATATATGGGATCGATCAACCCATTTATATCCAGAAAAAAACTCTTATCAAAATGGTGATGTAGCCTGTGACTCCTACAACAAGTGGGAAGAGGATGTTGCTTTGCTTAAAGATATGGGTGTAAATACTTATAGGTTTTCGATAGCATGGTCTAGAGTTTTACCAACAGGTAATAAACTATAAGCTTGTATTTATTAATTTAAGCTAATTTATAGCAAAAGTAAAATTTATTCCTATACATTTATATATAATATTATATTATTTAAAATTAAAAGAATTTCGGACTTCCATTGTCTTTTATTTATTTTGCTTACACAACTTTTGGTCAGAAGTAGCACTGGCCGTTATCAAGTAACCAAACCAACTGATAACGGTCAGTGATACTTCTGACCGCAATGTTGTGTAAGCAAAATAAAAAATAAAGACAATGGAAGTCCGAAATTATTTTAGTTTTATTTCTGAATCATTGTCTATCACATTCAAAGTAAATATATTGTTTGTCGTGATAACCAAAAATTTAAGATAATTTATTGTTTTGTTTAAATATTTATTATGTTAGTTTTGTAAAATTGCCTTCAGTTTTTGCAAGTTTTGAAAAAAACTACAGTAGCACATTATATAGTGCAAAATGCTCTAGAACTTATTTTTGGAGGACGCTCTCCGAGAACGAAAGATATTGAATGAGCAAATGATGAGAATTTATAAATATCGCAAAGAAAACAGACCGGAAAATCAATCTGTTCCGTTTATAAATTTATTCTAAATTTTCACGTTTTTCTTATTACTCTCGAACAAAATGAGAATTTTGAGAACAGGGCATATCTTTCTGGGCATATTTATATTGCAGAGTAACTAGAGAGTTTCTAATAGTGTTGTAGAATGTAAAATGAGTAAGAGGGGGGGGGGGGTTAATCACTGCGACCTTAAAGATCTATTGTGCCCCCCTTCCTTGAGTCATCACACAGTCTATAACCCATCATACCCCTGTTGTAGAGGAGACAGGGTATTTCCCCTCTGACGCGCATCCTCCTCTGACAACAGTTCTTCTTCCGATGGTATACACCCTTCTACGGTTTGGCCCTCCGTGCCGCCCTTCACAGTCGAGGAGCTTGCCTCCGGCTAAGGAATCCGTGAGGTGGAGACTGGAGGATCTGCCTCCATTTTCTCCACCTCTTTAACTGATACCGGTGTATTAACTGATACCGGTTAACTGATAGTGTGTATTATAGCTTATATCGCTGAAAAGCTTAAAAAATGGCGCTTTTTATGAAGTCATGGCCAACTATGGTTTCCATTTAAAAAAAACAGATGTTTGTATCATATGTCAAAAATGACAGGCTTTAGAAAAAAACGGAGAACACACCAAACCAAACTCAAAGTTATAGGGATGGTTAAGATACACATTTTAAAATTATTATAGAGTATATAAGGTGCTTCAAAAAAGTGTGGCGGCTATAACATATGTTTTTTTAAATGCAACACCCTATTTTTTATTTTATTTTTAGATTCTGCGTAAAATTCCATAACTTTTTTATATATAATATTATATACCTAAAATTATTAGTTTTTGTAATATTTCAATTTATTTAAATAATTGTTAAATTGCAGTGTGGTAAAAAATTGTCAGTGGTGCCATTGTTTCTGAAGTTGGAGTACCAAAATTTGGTAGGAGAGTTTTATAGAGATGAAAAAAAAGATATATGTAAAGATATTTTAGTTAAATGATACAGGGTGTTCAAAATATATTTATAAATTTCAACTACTTTAAATGGGATACCCTATATATTATCATTTTTTCTGATAGATTTGAAAAAACTCTTCAACTTTTATTAAGTATGTCATATCCCTATTTTTAATAGTTTGCAATTTATTCCCATTTTTTCTATTTTTACCCATATTTTTAATACAATTACCCTATAAAATCATAGTTGCCATGACAAAACAAAACTATTTATTACTTACCTTTAACAAGTAGCTTCATAATTAGTTACAATTGCTGGTATTAGTTAAAATTAATTAACTTTACTCAAATAAACTAAATCGCATAAGTGAATTTCTCGGTGTATTTCTATATTATGAAAGATGCCACTTGGGATTTTTTGTCGGGGCGAATAGCCACAGATTAGGGTAATATTAGATTGCCTAATTGCTAAAGACTACTGATATATGAATTTTCTTCGACATACAGTATAGTTTTTTTCTCGTAGTAATTCTGATTTATAATTCATTTGGTAAAGCCAATATTACTACTGCCACGAAACCGTCCCATTACACACTGAAGATGTTTTCTAGATAATATACATCTATCCTTATAGTAGTTAGCAAAGTACTATATAATAAATAGTACTGAACCAAAAAATGTGGTTTTCTAAGCTTGTCCGTGTATATCATTCACATTGACTAATTAATTTCAAGAAAATCTGTTATCTCTACCATTTATACTTATTACAACAAATTAAACTAAAGTTCACATTTTGTTCTTAACTTGCTTAACAGACATGAAATTGTCATAATTATTACTTTTTGTCATGGCAACAAGTGTTATGTGTATGTTATAGCGCAATTGTATTAAAAATATGGGTAAAAATAGAAAAAATAGGAATTAATCGCAAACTAATAAAAATAGGTATATGACAATTTTAACAAAAGTTGAAGAGTTTGGTAAAATCTATCAGAAAAAATGATAATATATAGGGTGTACCATTTAAAAAAATTGAAATTCCTTAATTTTAATTAGTTGAAATTCCTAAATATATTTTGAACACCCTGTAACATCTAAGTAAAATATCTTAACATAGGTCTTTTTCTATATCTCTATAAAATTCTCCTACCAAATTTTAGTTGTCCAACTTCAGAATCAATGCCATCATTGACAATTTTTTAACCCACTGCAATCTAACATTTGTTTAAATAAATTTAAATATAACAAAAACTATTAATTTTAGGTATATAAAAAAGTAATGGAATTTTACACCGAATCTAAAAATAAAATAAAAAATAGGGTGTTGCATTTAAAAAAACATATGTTATATTCGCCACGTTTTTTTGAAGCACCCTGTATACTGTATAATAATTTTAAAATGTGTATCTTAACCATCTCTATAACTTTTATATTTAATATTTTTTTGTAAACCTCGAAACAAATGAGATAATGGACTTTGCTCTATCGTTGACTCACCCTGTACATATATATGTATACCTATATACTTAGTCTAGTCAAATAATTGTATTTTTTGAGGAAAGTTTTGGGGTAGTTCTAATTTGTTTTGTTCTTCATGTTTTTTGGGGCGCGGAATCCGAATCTGATATTTTCTAATAAAATTTCGTTTAAAAACAAATTGGAAAAAAGATTAAAAACTTCAATTTTTGCTGTTTTTTGCTTATTGAAAAAATGCAAAATTCCAAAAATTTTTGTTTTGCTCGACAAATGTGAATTTTTCAAAAATATTAGCTATATACAAAATGAACTTAGACAAACTTTCCTACAAATTCAGTTCGGTATATTTTTTTTCTCAGCCAATTCGATGAGGCGCTAGCGCTGGTTCAAGATTAGCGTACTTTGAGCTATCGCTTCAAAAGTGATTTTTTTCACTGAAGACCGGATGTATACCGTACTGGCAACTGTAACTTTTGGGTCGGAACTTACATGTGTGGAAGTAAATCGCATAGGGATCTTATTAAGTCGGAGTGAGAGAAATGCGACGGTGTGCTGTTGCGGCGTTGCCGGTACGCCTTTCCCTGTCAGGTAAAGTAAAATCACGATCGCAAACCGCTTATTTTTAAACGACTTTTTTTTCGAAAATATAACTAGATAAAATCGTTAGATATGTTTCTGAACATCTAAAATAGAATTATAAGGATATCGTTACTGTAATCAATTAGTTTTAATAGATTTTGAGATATCGATTCATTTTGAATACAGAGTTCTAATAGCGCGACCATTGTCGAATACCAACTCAATTCCACTTATTTTTAACAAAGTCGTTTTTAACTTGCACTTAAAAATTTTCAAGCTCTGGGAAAAATTACTACTCGTTAATAAATAAACAAATAAAGTATCGCGAGACGTAATTAAATCGTGAAGCTGAACGCATGATGTACACCTATCCCTAGAGCTTTAGATACTGATGTGGTACTGATTTAACTGATTGGGTCGACCGGTGGACTACGACAAATCTGCTATATCCCCTTCCACGTCTCTTAGCAATGTGCGCAGTTTCTCGATTTATTTCTTGCGTTTGGCAACGTGTTTACTGTTTTCTCTTTGTTCAGGGCATTATAAACGCATTGTACTCTTCTTACATATGGAAATGTCGACCCAAGACTAACCTTTGCCAGCCCTTAGTATATGTATAAATTCCTTCATAAAAAACTTAAGGCTGTAATAAAAAAATGAAAAAGACTACTGTTATAATATTATGTTGATAAACTGTTGTTGTTTACAGTCCTCCTGTCCTCCTGCATTAATTGTGTTGACAGCCTTTCTTGCATCTGCAAGAATGTACTACAGTGTCAAACCCGGTGTCGATTTAAAGTTGTTAGCACTGGAACGAGTCGTTTTCATGTGCTTTTCCACTCCCACTCGCATTTAAATTTATAATGTTGTTGTTTACAGTCCTCCTGTCCTCCTGCATTAATTGTGTTGACAGCCTTTCTTGCATCTGCAAGAATGTACTACAGTGTCAAACCCGGTGTCGACTTAAAGGTTGTTAGCACTGGAACGAGTCCTTTTCATGTGCTTTTCCACTCCCACTCGTTTGAATTTCTTTGTTTTTCATAATATGTGGTTTTGTTAGTGGCCCCTGCTGCACTTGAAAGGAAACTCTTAGTAAATGTTATCGTGCAGTGAAGCAATATTATGTGTTACTTTTATAAGACGAAGATATGTATTGTCTGTACTTAGATCTCGATAAAAGAAACATATTTTCTCTTTATCGTTTTTCAAATAAGTCTAAAATAACGGAGTTATTTTACTTTGAAAATTTCCAAAAAAAAATATTTTTTGCTAAAATTTTGAGAACCACAGGATCTTTCCTGGATTTTCTTTCTTGTAAATTTAATCTAATATCTATGTTGCCATATTTTCAAGAAATTGTGTTTTTTAACTAAAAACTAAAAAAAAATCCAAAAAATTTTTCCCAAAAATTTCGAATTATCAAATTTTTTTTTTCGCGAAAAAAAACCCTCATAGGCGTGTTTCTGGGGTTGAACTATACTACCAGTTAAAATATTTGCACTTATTTCTGGGACACCCTGTATAGAGCCATTAGAAATAAGTTTACAACTAAAAAGCAATATCGTTTGAGTTTGCTTGGGGATCTTTAAAAACATTAATGACGTATTTCAATTTACTATTTTTATGTAAAACTTTTTATTTCCTCTAGTTAAACTGAAGAATCCCAATGTTCCGAAGTTGTGTCTCACTTATTTATTGCGTGAAGGATTAATATAATTTAAGGATTAATATAGTATCAGAACATAGGTTTGTCGGCTAGAAATATCCTCCCCTTATTGTTACGTAATTATTTAGAGGGGACAACGTGTGCTTCTCGCAATAAGGACATCGGCATCCTCTGGAATCAGTAAATGATATTGCAGCAGATTGCTTTCCTTACATACTTGTCGATCTCCCTATGCCTTTGGTGTCCACAATTTTCTCAGAGTTGTCATCAAAAACGACAAGAGAGAAAGAGAATAGGAACTAAACTCGACCTGCAAAAATGTATTATCTGAATGTTTTACCATGGCAATTCGTTGGAAAAGTGTAGTTGGATTGTAATTATTGTTCAGATTTCTATCTGTGCAGAATTATTTATTATTGGAAAGGGTTTAAATTTTTCGCATGTCACATAATTTTGTTGGCAAACATCAGATTCGAATTGAGCAACCCAAAAAACATAATAAATAGAAGAAATCAGAACTACCACAAAACTTTCCTCCAAAAGGATTTTTTGAGTACAAGGTGACTGGATTAATAATATGATCTAATATAAATCGCATCAAAAACATACAATGCAAAAAAATGCCATGTCACACAATACAATACTTCCACTATAAAAAGTTGTGAGATCTCATGTAAAACCAAGTCAGTTTATTTTATTTAGTTTCTCTTTAAGCAACTATTCAACAATTTTGTTACAAATTATTAGTATCAATAACATCTTTATTTCTGTATAATCATAATTAAAAAACTTGATTTGCTTAGTAATCCAAATAGTAGATAATTGTAACAATTTTTTTAATAAAACTATTTTTAACGCACGTCTTGAAAAATTGTTTTTTAGTAGTCGTTTTACTAGTAAAAAAGTTAATTTCATTATTATTTCCTATATTAATGATTCCTTGTAACTTTTGTGACCTTTATACATTGTCTCTCTTATATCATAATGATTAAGTGGCAGTGAGATAGAAATCTGATAAAATTTTAAATTTTCTTAAAATTAAATATTCGAGAGCTATAAAAAACAATAGATAATAAAACTATTTAATTAGCAAAAAAATTAAATTAATCAATTAGTAAATATTTAATTAGAAATACATGTTTACAGATATCAATGTTTACAGATATAAATAATTGATTTTTTCTTTATTACATAACCATATACTGATGGTCGGCATTTCTGGTCTTGGGTGCCGGTTTTCTTGTTAATAAAGACAGAAGGCGAGTATTTTCCCAAGCGCATGGAATCTAGCGTCAGATTAAGTAGTTATGTAATAAATACTTCGTATTTTTGCTCACTCCGACTTACTAGATTGCCATAACGACTCACTCCTTTACATGTAAACGCCGACACAAAGGTTCGCTTGCCAGCGGGTTATATATATATATATATATATATATATATATATATATATATATATATATATATATATATATATATATATATATATATATATATATATATATATATAGCATAGTATATATATATATATATATATATATATATATATATATATATATATATATATATATATATATATATATATATATCCATCACCTTGGATCTGCCTAGAGGTAAATAGTTCGTGAACGAACGAGTTTCAATGAACTATTCCGACACCAGAACGAAAGGAACTAATTGCCGGTTTCTTAAAAGACTATTTCTTCGGGACCTATTCCGAGGACCGAGACTGTGACCGAGATATAATAATATCCAACGGCGACGGATCGGCCAGCGCAATCGTAGCTCGATGCTGGGCGGGAGTGGAGAGTGCCAGTCGTATGTTATCGATCCGGGACCGAAAGGACCTAAGGAAACTAGAGGAAGTAAATAAAATAGTTCACGGACGGATCGAGGAGTGCGATTGTAAACAGGTGCTAGGCGGGAATGGGAATGGCCAACCGTATGTTATCGGGTCCGGACGAGAGGAACTAGAGGAACTAATTAAAAGACTAGTTTACGGGAATCTATTCGGTCCGCAGTTTAGAGATATAATACAAGACGACAACGGCGAATCCGGCCTTGTCCGCGGCCGGCGCCGGCGTAATACTACAGAGAATTGTCGTGAATATTGTTTTTAATTTTTAGGTCGTTCTTTGAATATTTTATGGAAATGTCTCACTTTAGGTTCCTCAAATTAAGAAATATCTTATAAACGAAGTAGATATTCTAACTTTTTAGACAAAAGTAAAGAGCAACCCATGAACAAGCCATGGGGATGTCAATGTTCGTCGGAAACTCGGTCGGGAATTTATGTGAACTAAAAACCTAGTTCAAGGAACTATTCCTCTGGAACATAAAAAAAATAAAATTCCCACCTCTAGATCTGCTAAACAAAACGAAGAAATCGCACTTGAGTACCAAACTTTTTGTTTGGTAAAAGGGTAGTTTAAAAACATTTTATAAGCGAATAGTGAACGTTCCCAACACCATCTCGTGACAAACGATCATAGAGACGAACCCTATACAGTGTGGGACTCGAATTGTTACCCACTAAAAACAGTCCGCCTCCAAGGTATCGGCTGCCGAAGTATGGCCAGCTGTTATTCATGTTGATATTGGGGAGCATTATTCATGTTGATATACGGTGGCAATATTTCTCTTCCGCCGGTCCTTCATATATGACCTGTTTTGTTTTCTCCAAAAAAAAATGTAAAGATGTTTCTTCTTAGTAGGGACTACGCTTATAACTTGCTAAAACTCAGAAATATATGTATGTAATTTTTATTTTAACTGAAAAGATTTTTAGTACATAGTGCAAATAAACTTAACAACATTACTTCATTTTCAGGATTTGTGAATTCATCTAATTCCGCTGGTATTGAATATTATAAAAAATTAATAGCCGCCCTGAAAGAAAACAATATCGAACCTCTGGTTACAATGCATCACTGGGATATTCCTACATATTTGGAGGACTTGGGTGGATTTTTAACTGCCGAAATGCAAACCTGGTTTGTGGATTATGCTAGATTCTTATTTGAGAATTTTGGTGATGACGTAAAAGAGTGGATTACGTTCAATGAACCAAAGCAAACCTGTGAACATGGGTAAATACACGTGCAATCTAGAATAGATTAACTTTAAATGAATTAAGTAACTGATACCTGCAATTAGTAATAGCAATGACCTATAGTTTTAATTTTAAATAAATACAGGGTGCACATCTATGAGATTTTTTTCGCGAAAAAAAATGAAAATTTGAAATTTTTTGATTTTTTTTAAGTTTTATTTGAAAAACATAATATCTTTATAACGGTAATCAACATAGGTAGTAGATTAAATATAAAAGAAGGGACATACAGAAAAGATCCAGTGGTTCTCAAAATGTAAACAAAAAATCTTTTTTTCTGAAATTTTCAAAGTAAAATATCTTCGTTATTTTTTAAAAAAACGAAAAAGCGAAAATATGTTTCTTTTATCTTTTATATTTATTTTCTTTTATATTTATAAAAAAAATACGTGGATAGCCTGTCAAAAATATATGTATAGCCTAAACGTCAAATTTAGTGATTACCACAACCACTATGCCATAAAGAAAAGACATGTGGCTGTGTGACAATAATGACCGAAGCTGTCATGGAATTGAGCGATTAAAAAATTATCATAAATCATTTTTTTAGAATGGAAACCGGATTTTTTATTTCATTATTTTCAATTCGTTAGTTTTTGGCTATACATGTTCCTATACCTAAAATAAATTGTTTTTAAGTTATTTAAGATTTAGTTTTAAAGCGTACATTTTTCTTGATTGAACTAGTAGCCTATGACTTTAAACGTCAAGTTATGTACAACAATAGATGTCAACTATGTCATATTGTGGCACTTTGTTCAAAAATCAGTATGTAATCGATTATCATTTTCAAGCCAACTTTGCGCTGTTTTTTTTCGATCATACGTTATACCCGGTATATTATTAATAATTATTAGTTATATAAAATAACTATTAGATATCACTAAAGAGCGAAAATACGAGATATATTTTTATAAAATACACTTTTTATAAATACAACTTTTAAGCAGGCAGTATTTATAATACAGGAAATTCAAATTATTCGTTTTCTGACAGATGGAAATGAATTGTCTGATTGTTTGACACTTAATATCAAAGGAAGCTCGATAAAATCAAGGAAAATATACGTTTTCAAACTAAATTTTAAATAACTTTAAAGCGATTTATTTTAGGCATACGATTTATTTTACTGAAAAGGTAACGAATTGGAAAACATTTTTACTAGTGAAATGAAAAATGTGGGTTTCCATTTGAAAAAAATGATTTATGATAATTTTTTATTCGCTCAATTCCATGACAGCTACCGTCATTATTATATGACATTTTAACAATTTAGTTTTTGAAATAGATAGCCACATGTCTTCTCTTTATGTCACAGTGGCTGTGGTAATCACTAAATTTGGCTTTTAGGCTATACAAATTTTTTTGGCATGTAGTTTTTTTCGTCTATTTTTTTTCTCAAAAACAGTTAATGTTAGGTATAGGGTGTTTAACGTCAATATTTATAGAATTTTACAGAGCATTAAAGTATGTAATAAATATTAAGTAAAATGGGGGCAACCATTTAAAATAGGAAAGTGCCGTCATTTTGAAAAAATGAATTAAAATATCAAAATAAAAATGAATCAAAATATTTTGATTCGATAGATCTCGTTTTAAAACAATGTGCAAAAAGTCTCCGATTTAGATATTGTGGTTCTCTAGTAACTTCTAATGCACGCTCAGCCTGGGACACCCTGTATAGATATATTACAAATCGTTTGGACCATATTTTTCCAGTTTTTACAAAATAAAGTATTTGCTTGTTTTGTTCTTTTTATTTAATTTTGATACCTCTCTAATTTATAGATATGGATCTGGTGCTTTGGCACCTAATATACAAGGTCCTGGTACTAAGGATTACATATGCGGACACAATCTCATAATTGCTCATGGAAAAGCATACAGGCTGTATGAAAATGAATTTAAAGCCAAACAAGGAGGTAATTTTTTTCAGAATAATATTTTATAAAGCAAATTTGTTAAATATAACAACTTAATGAAACAAAATTTCTATTATCACATAAGTCTATTATCACATTGCTCTTTTTTATAACATATTTGTAAGATTATACAGAACGGCACTATTTTAAAAAGAGAATCTTATTAACTAGCAAGAAAAATAGGTATAAAGCTCCGTCAAAACATAACGTTTCATCATGTTTTAATTAAAACGGAAGTAGACGGTCTTCCGTTTTGAGGAACTTGCCGACAGTTTTCTAGAAAAATTTTCCGACTTAACTCAAATAAGAGTCCGTTTTTTTTGTCAACGCTCAATGTTTTACTTGATACGTTTGCACCAAACAGGTACAGAATAAGGAAAAAACATTATATCTGGACGGGGCTCAAGACACAAAACAACAATTTAGAAGAAAGTAGTTTCCAAATCACAACATTTATTTATTACAAAATATGGAACCTGTAAAAATAATTTTTAATTTACAAATTATCTGGTTACCTAATCTTAATAATCTTTTTAACTTAAGGCTTTATGTTTGAAATAGAACGAATTTGAATCGCAAAAAAATTAGGATCTATTTTAAATACGCTTTTTCTAACCATATATCGTAGCGAACAAGATTTATCTATTAAACAAACGGACATGTTATAAGTACATATACTTGAGCAAAGATAATTCTACTACGAAACTCCTGTGTTAACTATATTCTTTAATTTCAGTTTACAAATAAAGAAAATAAATTCCAAAGCATATAAAAAGCTTAAAAGCTATAAAAAGTCGCATCGCTCATTTTTCTGATTTTTTAAATTTTTTTCTTAGCTTAATGGTCACACTCCTTTAATTTTCTCTCCCTCATAGGACAATTCTCAAAAAGAAACAATAACCAAAGTCAAGATATGATAAAAGTGTTATATAAATCATACCAAATAAACATTTAGTTTGTCATTAAACTTGGCCGACAAAACATTGCCCACTTTTACGTATTTTCTTTTAGCCAAATATTTTAGGAAACAAAAATTAATTTATTTTAAATATATAAACAGTTATTTCTCCAAAAAATCCTTTATGGGTATTTAGCCACTGCACTGCAAGAAAATCTACAAAATAAAATAGTTATTTTTTGTAAACATTTCTGCGTTAAACCTAAACGGACACTGCTTGTCAGAAGTTATATTTACAGTTATACAAATTTGCCTAACAAAGAAACAAATGCTTAACTTAAAGATGAATCCGCCACATAGGTATAGACATTTTTATAAACAGTTATTATTCATATCAACAAAATCATTTAACAGCACTGGAGGGACGTAAAACGTCATTGTCACCGCTTTTCCGTTCAAAATATTCTAACTGCTGCTTCAGCATCTTGTGCGCCTCGCACTACAAGCGGTTTAAAAAAGAACTATTTTTGACTGCCAGGTCTGTTAGTAAAAAATATTAAGCTTAAAGTATCATAACACAACCCACTTAAACCAAAATCTCGTAATATAAAACTAAAGTGTCAAAACGAATCCAAATGTCAAGAGATAAATAAATAAATGTAGCAACTTAATATTTTTTACAGCAAAGCTACCAACTCAATCGCATGCGGAAAATATATATAGTTCGTAACAATGGATTTAATAATCGCGCCCTCGATGACGTAACTAGAAGTTTATATGGTATCGCGCTTATACTTAAAAATTCCTACTATGCAAGACGGTACTGTAACTAACGCCCAGTTTCATAATACAACCCTTAAAGTCACTTTAGTTAAAGTCCACTTTAAGTTAAAGTCCACTTTAAATTCAAATAGGTTTCATAATCAATTGGCCTGGTTACTTTAACTAAAGTGAAAATTGCCTATCAAATTTATTTTGGTACCACTGAAATACACGATCTGGCTGTCAAAAACGTCTATTTTGAGGTTAGATCGTTTTATCGATTATTTGTGTAGCGTCTTGGCGTCAATTTTCTATCGTTTTTCCGTTATAATATACATACCTCCGAAATCAAATTTAAAATATTTAAAATGAAAAGGGCAAGAACAACAAATTTTTCAGCAGAAGAAGAGCTTCTTTTAGTGGAAGAGATTAAAAAACATGGCGCTATTGAGAATAAAACGACTAATAAATTCTCACACAGAGAAAGGGTAAAGTATATACCATATAGATTATTTTTTTTGAAGATTTAAACTATTTTCATTTTTAGGAGCAAGCGTGGGAGCAAGTACTCCTGAGCTACAATGCAAAATCAAGCCGACCTAGGGAAATGGAACAAATCAAATCCAAATTTGACAACCTGAAAACAAAAGCGAGGAAGCATGCTAATGAAAAAAAAAATAATTTGACAGGTACCGGGGGAGGCCCAGCTGTTCTGAAAACAGATGATCCAGTGTTAACAGTGGTACTGGAGATATTAAATCCAAAATCCGTAGTGGGTTACACCCCTTTAACGGATTCAGATTGTGACGTAAGAATATAATGCTATATGTTATTATCTGCGTTATTATACATAATACACATATTTTACAGAACGTTTGTACGCTGCCTCTCATTGAGAATGAAGGTATAAATAATGATGGCAACATTGAGGAATCTATAGAATTATTACAAGTAAAGTATTATAACAATTCATTTTCATATTACTTATTTAGTTTTTTTTTAGCCAGTTGAAATTGAAGTGATACAGCCATCCTCTTCAAATTGTGTAAGTTGATAATTTTAATGTTATTAAAAAAAAGCAAATGTTAATACTTCGAGTATTTACTTCATACGTGAAATATCTATTATACCAATAGAGGACATGCTATACTAAAGTAGGAGATAATTACCTCCTGTATCCTATATAATATAATATATTTATGATTACCTAGAAGTATTAGGATTTATTTAGTTTGCATTCATCCCCGCATGTATTTATTACTGATATTGATTATTTCAGGAAGCTACAACTAGCTACAGTAGACTACAGCTGGCTACAGAAGCTACAGCTAGCTACATTGTTGTGGATGAAAAAGTAAGATATAAATTCATTTATTCATATATGTGCATACTTACAATGTATTTATAGATGGAAACTGGAATTAAAAAAAGAGACTGGAGTAATTATACTCCAAAGAAATTAAAAGAGCCTGTCAACAAGAAATTGAGGCGAACCATTCCTAATACAACATTACAAGCAAAAGAAGAGTATTATAAAAAAAAAATTGAATTTCTGCATGTCCAGGAAGAAGAGTTCGAAAGAACACAAGTTCGAAACTCTGAAAAACATGTGAAAGAAATGGAATTGTTAAATTTAGAAATAGAGCTAAAAAAACAGTTGTTACATAAACAAAAAGACTTAGAATAAATGTTGTTTTAAATAAATGCATATTTTTTAATTCACCTGTAGCAGCTAACATCACTTTATAGTTACGAATCAAAATTAATAAAGAATTATTAAATAGAAACAGATAATAATAAATAATATTCTATTTAATAAATGCATACATTTTATTCATTGTAACAGTTACAGTTTAACAAATCAAAATAAAGAAGTGTTCAATATTTAACAATGAATGTCCCTTTAAATAAATGCATATTTTTTATTCTTTATAATTATAGTTAAATTATAAATCAATAAATTGTTAAATACAAAAAACATTATTTTAAAATATATATTGAAGTGCTGCTCTATAATCTGCCAAAATGTTGATGGACTAACAGATCTCTTACTTGTCGTCCATTGTTATTATTATTATCAAAATTGACATGATTTTCATGAATATCATCACCTTCTTCTTGTTCCAGCCAATCGTCTGGAAATTCTTCTCCCATTGCCAGCGCTAAATTGTGGAGTACAGCTGTTGCCACAATTATGTTTCTAATTGTTTCTAATTTTAACCTCATACCTAATCGAAGTATTGGAAACCTTCGTTTCCATACCCCATACTGCCGTTCCACAACATTCCGTGTCCTAATGAGTGATTCATTATATAAATTCTGAGCTGCTGTTTCCACGGTTTGCAGTTGTGTCATGAGGTATGGTTTCAATGTATAACCGCTGTCACCAATTAATAAGTACTGGCCATACATGTTATTCTCAAATTGCTGTTTTAAGTTACTGTTGTTGAATATAGTTTGGTCATGTGTAGACCCTGGCCATCGACAAACAATATTCCTTATTCTTAAATCGGCATCAGAAACTGTTTGTACATTTACTGCAAAATATCCTTTCCTGCATCGAAAAATTTCAGCATCGTCTCCCCCTACTGAATCTATTTTTATTAAAGTACAGTCAATAGCACCAATACATTTTGGAAACCGAGCTATTCTATAAAAATCTTCACATGCTGCCTCCATTTCTTGGTTTGTACCATACATGTTGATATATTGTGGCCTCAAAGATGCAATTGCCTGAGAAACTCTTTGCACGATTCTACTAGCTGAGCTTTTTGACACTCCCATAAAATCTCCTACAGAGAGTAGGATGTTTCCTGTTGCATAGAAACGTAATGTAAGCAACAATTGCTTCATTGGATCTATGCATCCGCCCCTAAAACATACATCTATATATAGAAATATGTGGTAAATTAATTATAGTAAAATACCTGTTTGTTGGTAACACTATCAAGTTTTCAATTTTTTCTAATAAATTGATAACCGTTGCCTTTGTCAGCCTAAACCTATCAAAGAAATCAAGCTCATCATATTCGTGGACGTAATCTTTCCTTTTGGGATATATCTTTGGCCTCCTCACAACTATTTCTTCTTCTTCAGAACTAGAACTTGAGGATGAAGATAACATATTTCAAAAAATGATTTATACAATGACAGAATTAACCAAACACTTTTCTCTCTGCTAAATCCACAAAAGCTAAAACCACAGGGGTTAAAACACGAGGATGAAACGAAAAATAGGGAGTTCGAAACAGGTTCGAAATTCGAAATATAGGGTTACGGTTAAAGTAGTAAAGTACTTTAGCGTTTTTAAAGCGGGAGCATGTGCACTTTAACTTTAAAGCGACTTTAAACCTTAAAGTTTAATTATGGAACGCAATTTTAAATTTAAAGTTCCTTTAAGATTTTAAAGTACTTTATATTTTATTATGAAACTGGGCGTAAGTCTTAAATCGTTTCGCTAAAGCTTTATTCCGAACCTCCAAATTAGTGGAATAAATTATTGGTTTCAATGTTTCGATTAGCGTAGAAGTTTGTTCCTCTAGTAAGCATTCACAACGTCAAAATCAGTGGTAGTAATATTCAATTAGTGGAAAAAGTTAACAAACTTTTAACTTTTCCACTAATTATACTTCTATAATAAATTTACGGGGAATCTCATTTTAGCCATTATCATCCGTCAATAAAAATTGTCGTTAGAAATCAAAAGTTTATTGTTTTATTATAAGCTAAGTATTAGGCTTTCTCTATGGATACAATTGACTACCCCAGCTAGACCTGTTTGGTGTTGAGATTTGAACACCGGTGTTAGGTGTTGATGACCATCGATGTTTCAGTCGGCATACCGGTGTCAACATCGATACCGGTGTTTATCTCAACACCGGTATTTATCTTGACACCGGTGTTTTCTCGACACCGGTGTTTATCCCGACACCGGTGTTTATCTCAATACCAGTGTTCATTTCGCCACCAGTGTCGAGTTCAACAACGGTGTCGGTGTCAACACCGGTGTCGATGTTGATGGTGCGGTTTGTTTTTTTTACTTCTTTTTTTAGTTTTTTTGTTTATCTAACGCTTCCACTATATTTTAGTGATTAGTCTGGCAAAAAAATATATTTAAATTTGAAAGCTTTAAGTTGAAGTCGGTGCGCTTTAATAAACGATAAAAATAAGCACTGATACGACATTATTATCAGGTTTATTTGAACTTATTAATTAACATTATTTCTAAACCGGTGTCGTAGTCAAAACCGGTATCGAGATGAACACCGGTGTCCAGACCAACACCGGTGTCGAGATGAACACCGGTGTAAAGATGACCACCGGTGTTGTAGATGAACACCGGTGTCGGTGTCGACACCGGAACACCGGATAGCCAATATTTGGGCGCCGGTGTCAGCCCAACACCGGTGTTTCGGGTTTTGGAACAGACCCAAGCTGTTGCTAGAAAACTCTATTAATTTTAATTGTGTTTTTGAGATATTGTGAATGATCGTAAACTAAAAAGTATAAAGTGTAATTGAAACCCCTAATTTATTCCACTAATTGCGAGGTTCTGTGTGAAAGCCTCTGGCACACAGTAGTCGACACCGATCGGTAAAAAAATGTGGAAACAGAAAGAGTAGAGAATGGCTCCAAAGAAACTTCTTTGATTTTAACACATTATGTTGTAGTATTTGTTTTTAAAGCACTTAATATAATTATTTAAAATTATATTGTCGAATTCTTTCCTTAGGTAGAGTTACAATGGTGATTGACAGTAACTGGTTTGAACCAGCTTCTGATCTTGACGCCGATAAAGAAGCCGCTGAGAGGAATTTATTATTTACGGTAAATAATTGAACTAATCCCCTATAATATTTATTATTTCGTATTCCACTAAGGTGACTTCTAATTTCAGTATGGTTGGTTTGGCCACCCAATCAATTTTGGAGACTATCCAGATATTATGAAGGAACGAATTGCCAACCGCTCAGCTCAAGAAGGTTATGAGTCGTCTCGTCTTCCAACATTTACCGAAGAGGAAAAAGCTATTATCAATGGCACAGTTGACTTTATGTGTGTTAATATTTATACTTCATCAATGGCTGCTGTATGTATACTTACTAACAATTTTAATTTCATATACAAAACAAATTTTCTTTGAAGAAAAAAAGCAGCAAAATTTAGTAGTTAATTTTTTATAATTGCCGAAGTTACAATAGTATTATACAGTATTTTTTTCTGATAAATACAAAAAGCAATACCAAAGAACACTCACAAATTTTGTCATTAAAGAACTTCTTTCTTCAACATATTTGCTGCGTAATAAATCAAATATATTATGTAATAAGTATTGTAAAATGCATATTAAGTGCAGTATACTATGAGTTCGTAATGCTTTTACAACTCTATACAAGATTCGTCTCGTTTCATGTTCCATTTTCAGGTTGTGTTATGGGGTTGCTCGTTAATAAGTAGAGATGCGGTTTTCACATCACTAACTGTTTTGAAGAGTAATAACTTTTCGTCCGTACCTTTAAATATCTTTGTCCGTACCTGTATAAAAGTACTAAGTGAAAAAATATACATTTCCGTGACTTTTTACGTAAAAAAGGTCTCTTGCCGAAAATCGCTACGAGTAACCGTTCTCAAGGTATTTAGAATGGATATAGTCAATACATGTCATTATTGACAAAAAATAAACACGGTTGAGTAGATAATTATTTGACTGAAATAATAAATTCCAAATATTTGTATTTTTTTAAATTAGTCATAACAGTTAAACAGTTTAAACAGTAAACAGTTTTCTGTTGAACTTTTGGCACAAAAACATTTCAAATTTGTGGTTTTTAAGTCTAATAACTATTTAGTCAATATGTTTAATTTATGTCAATGATAACAGGGTATTGATAATTTCGATTCCAAATATCTCGAGAACCATTACATATAGCGATTTTTACCATGGGGCCCTTTTTACGTAAAAAACGTCGTAAATGTATATTTTTTACTCAGTACTTTTATACAGGTAGGGACGAAAAGTTATTACTCTTCAAACCAGTTAAAGATATGTAGGTGGCGCCCTCTACAAGTTGAAGTCATATTTTTTTTAATTACTTAATTTTCGGTTGACACCCCGTATACAATATATTGACTTCCTATATACGTCTTTCAATTAACTTGTGCTAAGCTACACACATTATACTTTTTAATACATTACACATTTAGGCAATTTTAAAATATCGTTAATGAATATGTTTCGTATTATAGGCAATTTCCGAACCAGATATAGTACCTCTAGGTCCATCAAGAGACCTCGACATTGGAACAAATGTTTATCAGCCTGATGATTGGGAACCTACTGTTACAAGCTGGTTTAAGGTATGTCATTACAAAATTAACAAATTTTAGTCTGCATTATGTATTACTAACAGGTGGTACCTTGGGGCGCAAGAAAATTAGTAAAATGGATAAGTGATCAATATGGACAACCAGAAATAATTGTCACGGAGAATGGATATCATGATAATGGAACTGTTATACATGATCTGGAAACCAGAGGACGCTATCACAAAGTAAAATATTATAGTAAATTAATTGTGATATATCTCCTATGGTCAATTTTTAAAATTTTAGCTTTATCTTAGTAATTTACAAGATGCCCTATATTTAGATAACGTTAACTTAACTGGTTACATGGCTTGGGCATTAACCGATGATTTTGAATGGCAATATGGCTATAAGTAAGTATACAGATACAATGTAATAGACCGATTTTTCATAAGTATGTATGATAATATAAAGTTTCTCCAAGGTAAAGAAATTTATTAAATAATGAATATTTTGGCTTTTAATAATGAATAATGGCTTTTTTGCAACTTTACAGACAGTACAGAAATCTGTCGTTTTATACGGGAGATACTATACGTTTCTTGAAGACATCGTATAAATAGAAACCGGGTATATTGAAACAAAACTATTATATGTATTACACAAACTACATGGTACATGCATATACAGGGAGTCCCAATGTTCCGTGGATATAGAACTACTACGTATTTTTGGAATCGAAATAAGTTTGCTGGACGTAATTTACCTATATACAAAAGTGCCTCGTTCGTCCGTTAGTGGGCATCAAACTTTAGAATTTAGAATTTTTTTAATACTGATGCTTCCAAAACCAATGCGGGAACCGGGATCGGAGTATTTGGGCCGAAAACTAAATACTCCGGACCAATGGGCACCTACCCTAGCATCCTACAGGCAGAAATCTACGCTATCGAAAGATGCGCGTACAATTTATCTTATATAGGAACTGTCGTAAACAAGAAATAGCCATCTTATCTGATAGTCAAGCAGCGTTAAAGGCGATCAACTCAGTATCAATCAATTCGAAATTGGTCAAGGAATGCATAGAGAAGCTGAATAAATTAGGCAAAGAAAACAAAATCCTTCTACTCTGGGTGCCTGCTCACCAAGGGATAGAAGGCAATGAAAAAGCAAATGATCTAACTAGAAAAGGAGGAAACACTCCCACTAACTGGACCGTGGTAAGCGTGGAAAAGTGGTAACCAATTAAAAGCGGAACTCAAGAATTTGGAAGACGCCATCCGCAACCTGGAATGGGAATCTTGCAACGGTCTAAGACACTCGAAGAAGTTTCTGAGGGTTTACGACCAAGAAAAATCAAAGATCTTCCTGGATTTAAGTAAGAATTGAATTCAGATTGTCACGGGGTTTTTAACTGGACACTGTCCCCTCAATGAACACCTCAGCAGATTGAAACTAAGGAAACGGCGAATGGAGATTCTGTGGGGAAAATGGGGAAACACCAAAACACCTCATCATTGACTGCGCTGAGACGACAACCATTCGTACCATGATCTTTGGTACGACTGATATTGGAGATGGAGAACTACCCTCTGTAAAACCGTCCCAGATACTAGCTTTTGTCAAAGCCCTGGGGCTGTATGATGAGTTATAACTCAATAAAAGGGGACACAATAAATTTGTAAGGTCGCAGTGATTAACACCCCTCCCACTCATTCTAAATTCTAATCAAACTTTAAAAAAATAAACACTTTTTTAAATATTTTAAGAACCGATATTCCAATTTGAATATGATTTGGAGTGTTTATTGTGATTTGTTAGCAAACCTATATTTTGCTAAGAGCATCAACACTTTCACAAATAAAAACAGTGATAAGGGATAAATAAGATATGGGAAGGGTGAAAACCACCCCCAATCCAAACAACTGATATTTTTTTGTAAAATGTTCCTTCTTGTATTTACTACATTTTTTGTCTCTTGTCAAAAACGCCACAACGCCTAAATTTTGAGAAAAACAATATTTTTCCGAAGCTGACTTGAAAAGTAAACTTCGTTGTTCTTTTTGTTTAATGCCTTCTAATTGACAAACAAAACATTTTTGTATAGAGGTAAAATGTGTGCAATTAACTTATTCTGGTTCCAACAATACGTAGTTGTTCTATATCCACGGAATATTGAAACTCTGTAAAGTTTGTAGGTCCATTTTGGAGAAAAAAAATCACAATTTTTTTCTCAAAAACTATGCGAAGAAGCATTTTTTACAAAAGACAAAAATACATTAAAAAAAATCAGTCGTCATTGAAGCTGCAAACTATTTCAACTAGAATTTATATAGGGGTGGGGAGAGTTTTCAGCATTCTCGTACCTTTTCTGGTGTTTTGGTTTGTATATTTATTTATTCCTTATCAATGTTTTTTGTGAAAGTCAAGTGGTAAAGCGCTTAGCAAAACATAGGCAAAACATCCCAAATATCATTAAAAATGGAATATCGGTTCTTAAAGTATTTTAAAAATGTGTTTATTTTTTAAAGTTTGATGTGCTTTAAAGGGGCGTCCAGACCACATGAGCGAGCAGTAACGAGCGCGAGCAAACATTTATTCAAATTCGCTCGTGATTTCTGCTGCTCTCGAGCACATGATCAGCTTCCGTCCAGACCTAGCGATTATTTGTATGTTCGGCGTTGATCGGTGTGTGGCACTTCATGTTCATAATGTCTAAAAAAATCATGCTTGTGCGTCTTTCATTGTATTTTATAAATTGTTGAAACGTCAAAAAAGAAAACGACTGCAGAGGAGATGGTGGAACATAACTCTTTAAAAATCGAGTTTCTCATGGTGGTAACAATTTACTAAACGATGTTGAAACAGAAGATTCTGGAAAATTTAAGAACTTTTGTGGGATGTCACTTACAGATTTTAATACCTTATTAGATTTAATTGACATAAAAATAATGAAAAGTGATACCTATTACCGAAAAGCAATTTCACCTAGAGAAAGGCTAGCTATAACCTTACGGGTCTTGGCGATTTTTGTACTCCTCTATTAGTTCTAAAACAACTTCATTCGGCCATTCCATTTTTGATATTCGATCGCAAACGTGGTAAACAAAATCCCGTCCAAGCCGAACGTGCAATAGCGCGAATTTTCTTTGATGTACCGACACGGCGTGGAACAGCGTCGAGCGCGAGCAAGCAATCATTCGCTCGCTCGCAGAGCCGTCCACACCAGTTAAGCGTTCCCATAGAACATACCCGAATTCTCGCTCCTGCTCGCTCATCCCGTCTGGATGCCCCTTAACACGAACACAAGCAACACAACGAAGTACTTTTGTATAGAGGTAAATTGTCTACAATGAACTTATTTTGATTCTAAAAATACGTAGTAGTTCTATATCCACGGAATCTTGGGACACCTTGTATATTATTTCACCCCGCAAAAAATGAATAGTTTCATGACGTTTGAAAAAAATAATTCACTGGTGCCAAAATGCAAACGCCTGAAACCGCTTTCATTCTACCTAAAAAGGGGGTTTTCTGTATATTTTTAATATTAAAAATGGTTATATAAATTCACAAACTATGTATGTTTATACCAAAAATTATACAGGGTGAGTCTTAAAAATGCAAATATTTTCAGGGCTAGCAGATCTCGACAAAAGAAACATTTTCTCTTTGCCGTTTTTCAAATAAGTCCAAAATAACCAAGATATTAAACTTTTTTTGCTTAAATTCTGGGTTTATCTTTATTGTCGTTTCTTTCTTGTGAATTTAATCTACTAAATATGTTACTATATATATACCATTCATAAAAACCATAAATACTTAATATCTTCATAAGAAGATATAAGTATTTTAACTAAACATTTTAAAAATTTGCAAACATTTTTTCAAAATTTTTGAATTTGTTTTTTCGCGAAAGACGCTCCCTAAAAATATTTGGACTTATTTAAGACTCACCCTGTATATACCCACTTTATTTCTGTTAAAACTCATTATTTTTATTATTTTTTCATATCTAAATATTTATTTTTGTGTTTAGCATACAACTGGGACTCTACCAAGTCAATTTTACGGACCCTGAGCGACCAAGAACGGCAAAAGACTCTGCAGCATTTTATAAACATGTAGTAACCACTCGATGTTTAGTAGAGGAAAGCGAATGTGTAGATTAAAAGGAATAATAAATGATTAGTTTATTACTTAATTATATTGTTTAATTTAAAAATTTTACCCCTATGTACTTTCTTAATTTTATATCCATAAATATTAATAATTATTATTTAAACTACAGTGCAACCCTGTGCAACCTCTCTAATTATAGAATTGGAACAACCCAACTGCGATGATATAATGAGAGCAATACCTCCATAATTATTTAGTTAGATATTATATAAAAGTAGAGAGCTACTCTAGGTAAGCTGAATGTATTATACTTATTAGAAAAAGAAAATCCTAAAGCTTCCTCTCCAGAAATATCGGATAAAAAGGACGATTCTTGAGTAGTGTAAATATAAATATAAAACACAAATTTTATCGTTATCAATTGGATATGACCGTATGATCGAAAGAAAATGACGTCCAGTTGGCTGGGAAATGACGATCGATGACATTTCCCATATAAATTTACATATAAAATGACAGCGATCTTCATTTCATAGCCATCGCTGACGCCGTTTTTTCTCGATCATACGGTACTTCTTCTTTCTCTGCTTATCCATTAACGGATGTTTGCAACCACACTTTCCAAGGCTTCTCTATCTCTGGCTGTGTGGATCAACGTCTGTATATCACGCATGCCTGTCCACTGTCTTATGTTCCGCAGCCACGATATTTTTTTCCGTCCCAGACCTCTTCTGCCCCTCGATCTTGTCCTCGATAATCAACTGGAGAAACTGGTATTTATGATTACGAATGATGCGACCCAATTATGCAGTCTTTCTTAGTATGTTAACAAGCATATTTTCAAAATGTGCATTACCATTGCCCTCACATTACGTAAAAAAATAAAAATCACAAACCCAAAACCAAACACAGAGCTCTTTCGGAAGCGTGGGTTACCCTGTTATTCTGATCAAATTTTATTTTGTTTTTCTGGAAAGTTTTGAAGTAGTTTTGATTTATTTTGTTCTTTATGTTTTTTTTTGGGGGCGCTGAATCCGAATCTGATGTTCGCTAGTAAAATTTCGTGAGGGAACATTGAAAAAATGCAAAAAAAAACGAAAAAATTGCAATTTTTACAGTTTTTTGCTTATAATTCAAAAAATGTCAATTTTTCAATTTTTTTGTCAAATAACACCTCTATAAAATTTCCTACAAATTCAGCTCTTTATATTTTTTTCATCAGACAATCCAATTAGGCTCTAGCGCTGATTAAAGATTAGCGTATTTTGAGCTATCGCTTCAAAATCAATTTTTTCACTGATGACCGGATGTATATAAATTCTAAATTCCTATAAAAAACTTAGGTTACAACAAAAAAAAACGTGAAAAAGGCTACTGCTATAATATTATATTCATAGAGTATTTAAATTTATAATGTTGTTGTTTACAGTCCTCCTGTCCTCCTGCATTAACAACTGCGTTGGCAGTCTTTCTTGCATTTGCAAGAATGTACTACAATATAGAACCCGGTGTCGACCTCAAAGTGGTTAGCACTGGAACGAGCTCTTTTCATCTGCTTTTCCACTTCCACTCATTATTCTTATGTAAAACTTTAAGGAATTTTAATTTCTTCTAGTTAAACATTTCAGAAATATCACACTTATTTATTGCGTGAAAATTTACTATAATTTAAGGATACATATAGTATCAGAACATAGTTTTATCCGCTGTAAGAAAAATCATCGTAGTGTTTGGTTCTCAAAATTTCTAAAAGATAAATATTTCCCCTTTATTGTTATTTAATTATTTAATGGCCACAACGCGTGTTTCTCGCAATAAGGATATCGGCATGCTGCTGAGCTTGATGTAATAGCATTTTTGCCTTTTTTGTGAGACAGAAGGCACTATGGAATCAGTAAATAGTATTGCAGCAGATTGCTTTCTTTGCATACTTGTCAATCTTTACATACCCTTGGTGCTTCAACAAGCTATGTATTATCTGAATGTTTTACAAATTCGATGGAAAAGTGTGGCTGGATTGTAATTATAGTTCTGATTTCTATCTGTACAGAGTTGTTGATTACTGCAAGGGGTTTTACATTTTCACTTCATTTAAATTTTATAGTTTAAGAATTACCACCTATAATGCGCACTATACTTTTTATACTCTTTTAAGAAGTGACAATATATTTTTTCATTTGAAACTATACCCGTAGGTACTTGTATTTACACGTATTTTATATACAGGGTGTTTCAAAACAAATGCGAAAAACTTCAGGAGGTGATTCCTTGTTCAAAATAAAGGGTAGTTTGCTTCATAAATGTTGGGTCAAAAGTCAACCATTAGGGAGATATTGCGGTACAAAGATGGAGGAAAAATTATGTTCTTATTTTTTATCTTGAAAACCAAAAGAGATAGACTAATGAAATTTTATGGAAGCATTACTGTTATGAAAACACACTTTCTGGTAATTTTTTCACTTTTTTAAAACGAGTGGAAGGGGTTGAAATGAACAACCCCTATCATTCTTGTTAACGAAATTTAAAGAAAAATCTTATCAAACACATGCAAAAAAAATAATTTGGATAGTTTAGTTTGTTTAGAAACTTTTTTATCTCTTGTATTTTTTTATAAAACTCACCGATTTGAAATTAAAAAATAAAATGTAAAGCATTACATGTCAGGACTAAAAATATTTTTAGATTAAGAATCTAGTGATAATAATGATAATAATAATAATCTAGATAATAACGTATTGCAGTAGGGTAGTGTCAAAAAAACAATATTAGAAACATCCTAAAAAGTGACAGCGGCCGACTAGATTTTTTCCTAAAAAAATTACAGCTGCCCACTAGATTCTTTATCTAAAAATGTTTTTGTCCTGACATGTAATGCTTTACATTTTATTTTTAATTTCAAATCGGTGACTTTTATCAAAAACACAAGAGGTAAAAAAGTTTCTAAATAAACTAAACTATCAAAATTATTTTTTGCATGTGTTTGATAAGATTTTTTCTTTAAATTTCATTAACAAGAATGATAGGGGTAGTTTATTTCAACCCCTTCCACTCATTTTAAAAAGTAAAAAAATTACCAGAAAGTGTGTTTTCATAACAGTAATGCTTCCGTAAAATTTCATTAGTCTATCTCTTTCGTTTTCAAGATAAAAATATAAAAACATTATTTTTCCGCCATCTTTGTACCGCGATATCTCCCTAATGGTTGACTTTTGACCCAACGTTTATAAAGCAAACTACCCTTTATTTTGAACAAGGAATCACCCCCTGAAGTTTTTCGCATTTGTTTTGAAACACCCTGTATAATAAAAATTTGATTTTATTATTATTCGGGGTGGTACAATTGTTGAAATCACTCTCTATATGACATTTAACTTAAAACTAAAAAAAAACAGATACTAGAGGTGTATTTAAAAACAAGTATTTATCATGTATCTATTATGGAAAAAAATTAAACTATGGAGGATAGTTAAACTTAAACATACAACCACAGATAACACATAATCCAGATGGCTCCTTACGTGTTAAAAATTGTCACCCCAATTTCACTCCAATTTGGAAAAATATTGGAGTGACGTTTGAATAATCTGAAATTTTTAGATTCCTTTTCTAACTTTTTTGGGAGGTTTTGCTTCTCTTGCACAGATGTCGCTTGCACTTCAGTTGCGTGGTTGCCAAACGTTATATCGAAATATATTTCATTTCATTATGAATATATAAAATTAAAAATTATGTAATTTATAAACATGAAATAGATATGGATGTTAGGTAATACCGATGTTAAATTAATATATAAATATTTAACTTAATACGTACATTATTATTTTATTAATTTATCGTCACACGTCATTTACCAGTTGCCTAATTACGAAAAAGTTTCATATGATATTAACCTCAAAAATGATCTTTGAAAACAAACAACAACAAATAACTCAAAGAAATAACTACATACTACATAATAATAACTGATAATAATGACTTTTAATGGTATAAAGGCTGATGAAGGTAATTATAAACATTATTTTTGAGTTTGTTTAATAAAATATAGGATACAATATAACTAAGCAAAATCAAACAGTTTTAGACAACCAATACAAGATTCAGAACTCGGCATCGCGATAAACAAGTAAAATTGTACATTCAGGAACTCGTTTAAATATTATAGGTAAGTAATATTTTCACAAAAGTAAACATAAAGTAATATAGAATATTACCTGTGATAAAATGTTAATTAGTGACGTATATTTATTCTAATCACATTTAAATTTAAACTCAAAATTTTCATAAAGAAAATGATAATTTTTCATAGATATAAAGTAAATAATATTACATATTTCAGGTTGATTGAAGAATAATCTACAATTGATTAGAGCCTATGACGATGCGAAGATAATTAATCACCTAACTTTAAGAAACCAGCCTAAAGAAGTTTACATGCATCTCATCTAACCATTATAGGTAATAATTTACAAAATTAGTCATTTTTGATTATAATATTATGGTACTTAGGTACATGTTATCTTCTAGATCAGTAGTGATTTTTCATAATTTGAATGAACTCACAGATAGCAATGGGGCACCGCACCGAAGCAGTATTACAAAATGTGAAATAAAACTGTAGTACATATTGCTCTATAAAATTTAATAGAAATAAATTTATTTATGAAAATTAATGAAGTTTTATCTTTCCTAGGAAAAAATAACAATTATATTTTGAACAATTAATTTAGAACATTAGAGTTAAAAAATATATGTGTTAGAAATTGTAACACATATTTTTAACTCTATGTTATTCTAACTTAGAATAACATATTTTTTAATAAAATTGCGCTTATACTTTATATACTTTTTGCTATTATATCAATAAGAACTAACGTAAGGAGCAATTCATTTATACTATAAACACACATGCATATTTTTTGATCTTTTTAAAACCAGTGAATAATGTTGAAATATGCTACACCTATTAATTCTTATTAACTAACTTTATAGCTAGACAGTTGAAAATTTTACAGATAATGTATCTATGTTGCCGCTATAAGAACAAATACTAAAAACAGAATTAAATAAATGTTTATAAATAAAAAAGTACTTTCACTAAACATTATCGTTTAAGTAAGAATTTTACACAGAATATTTAAGTCCTCGAGTGGCCGTGTGGTTAAAGGCGTTAGGATTTGAAGGCGCTGAGACGTAGTGAGGCAGGTTCGAATCGTAGGCAAGGTGACTTTTCTTAATCTTTTTTTTTATTTTTACATATTTTTACATTATTTATTTTTACTTATTTATTATTGATTAATACAATTTTAGCAATGTATTTCTTCATTTTTTAAATTACTTACAAGCGCATTCAAAATTTCAGCTAAATCGGAAAAAAGTTTACAATAATATAATGTCTGATGTTGTATAGATAATGTGTGAATGGTACATTCAATGATAATGAACCCTTCGTGCGCGAGTCCGACTCGCACTTGGCCAATTTTTTTTGTTAATTGAAACGTTTAGAATTTGAATATTCGTTCAAAAATTTTTTTTTTTAATAAATTTATTTATGATAAACAATTTATTAATGAAAATAATATGACCGAATTTCCTGGAAAGTTTTTCAAATTTGTACATATGAAAACCTAGCTTTACCACTTATCATAGAAAATCTCTATTCCTTCCCTTATCACGGAATAATAAAGGAACGAACCATATGCGACAAAGATAGAAGATTTAGATATGTCGTTACTGTCTTTTTTTTTAACGGATATTTTAAAAGGCGGGTAATTTACCTTTGACTGTCTTTGATTATAACTGTGTGTGATTAGTGATAATAAAATTATTATTAAAATGTCTGGTAATAAGTGCCAATTTTATAATTGTGGGATTTCTCGGAAATCAGGTGTACATATGTTTAAGTTTCCTGCGTCAAGAGATCTAATTTATGTACAAAGTGGATAGAAAATTGTGGTGAGTTCATTCATATAGAATTTTTTGCACATTTTGTATGTAAAAATACGGCGTTAAGTTACCTTAGAAATGGTGATCGATGGCTTTTACCATATACCGTATGAGCGAAAAAAACGGCGTCAGCGATGGCTATGAAATGAAGATCGCTGTCATTTGATATGTAAAATTATATGGGGAATGTCATCGACCATCATTTCCAAGCCAATCGGACGCCTTTTTTTTGGATCATACGGTATAATTTAACACATTAAGAATTGTCCATCGTTATTTCTTTATCTATGCAAAGTTTATGATGGATAAATCAAGTAATTAAGTGGATATAAATTATAAATGAATCAGTGAACATAAACTGTTATAAATTATAAGTAATGCAATTATTGAATATACCATACGATCGAAAAAAACGGCGTGGGAGTGGGCTTGGAAATGAAGCATATATAGATTAATTGAAAGCATTTTATAAAAATATATAGTTATACAGGGTGTCCCCAAAAAGTTATACATTAAAGTTGTTTTTTGTAATGGAATACCCTATATATTAATTGATTTTTGGATTCCAGGAAAAAATAAAGGTGTGTTTTATTAAAGAAGCATGTGCCTAGAATGTAAGGATTTTGACATATTTCACATTTTGTGAAAATGAAGAATAAAATTTAAATTTCAATAACAGCTATCTATATTGTAATTTATCCTGTATAGCCTGATATTTAGTTACAATAACCATAATATGTTAAACCAAATTAAAATGTGACAGGAAAAGTTATACAGGGTGGGACAAAACTTATATTGAACATTTATCACTTTGAAAAGCAAGTTACTCCTTTATTTTAAATGGAACACCCAGTATATTATTTCCGTGTTCAATGGGGAATTCATATCTTCAAAATATTATTAAGGTTGCCTACCCCTCTAACAAAGATTTTCCTAGATACTTTCATTTTATGATTTTGCGTCAGTAGATCTTTATTATTTGAAAAAATCTAGGTGGCTGTATTAATTTATCAAAAATTAAAGGATGTAGTATAAAATACTGTAATAAAACATACGTTTAAAACATATATTAATTATCACAGAATTAAAATTAGATATAAATGTATAATTATATAACAAAAATTTGAATCTAAAAGTAGAATCATATCAATTCTTTCTGATGTAGGATAAGTTTCTATTTTCGGAAAATTTCTTAGATTTTTTTTTGTTTCAACTGACGAACTGACACAAAATAATAACTAGTTGCTAAAGTTGAACTAATTTGACAGCTATGTTGAAGTAACGTCAGACATATCACAGCCACCCTAGATTTTTATCAAATAATAAAGATCTATTCACACTAAATCATAGAAATGAAAATATCTAGGAAAATCTTTGTTTGAGGGGTAGGCCGGCAACCTTAATAGTATTTGGAAGTGACATGAATTTCCCATTGAATATCGGAATAATATTCTGGGTGATTCAATTAAACTAAAGGATTTATACAGGGTGGGTATTAAAGGAGTTATACAGGTTATACCAATGTTCAACATTAATTTTGCCCCACCCTGTATAACTTTATGGGTCAGGTTTTAATTTGATTTAAAGTGCAATAGAGTAAATTCCAATTTAGGTAGTTTTTCTTGAAATTTAAAAATTGTTCTTCAAAATCTTAAGTAAGTCTAAAACCTTACATTTCAGTCATATACTTCCCTAATAAAACACACCTTTATTTTTCTCTTAGAATCTAAAAATTAGTTAATAAAGGGGTATTCCGTTACAAAAAAACACAAATTTGATGTGTAACTTTTTGGGGACACCCTGTAGAACTCTCTATATTTTTAAAACGTGCGCAGAATTAACTTACATATGCTCACAAAATTTCATTTCAATACGAACTGGTCGTTCTCCTTGGAGCCTCCGAGTCGTATGAGAGGCGCCACCCTGTATAATTTTTTATAGTTGCACTTTAATAAATTGTTAGTTAAAACTAACAGTCCTACGAGTGTGGAATTTTGTACAGGTGGATTTTGGACATTCATCTCCTAAGAGAGTGAAATAAGGGATGAAAATTCGTACAAACATTTGTTAAAATCGGGTTTAGAAGTATGAAATTCTGTTTGTTCCTTATGTAACGTAATTTAGCAATAACAAGCAATTTTTTTTTCGTCCACAACTCATTTCACCCCGTTAGAGGGCGAATTTCCAAAAATTGTTCCTGAGTGCTAAATTACGTTACATAAGGAACGTCTGCTAAAATTTCATACTTCCAAAACCGATTTTAATGAATTTTGTACAAATTTTCATCCCTTAATTCTTATGGGGCGAATGCCTAAAATTCGCTTCTGAGTACTCACTTTCATCACTTGAGGAACCTCTGTGCAAATTTTCATACTTCTAGGACAGATTTTTTTCAGAAAGTTCACCCCTCATTTCACCCCTTAGAGGGAAAATTTCGAAAAATTGCTTCTTAGTGCTAAATTATTACCAGGTGGGTATTACCAGGGAGATTTAAAAGGTATCTATGGCTCCAGTTGATCGATGTAATGTTTGTGAGGAAATTATCAGAACGAATTCGCCAGCAATTAAATGCAGTCACTGTCAAAAGTGGACCCACAGGAAGTGTACCGATTTATCTTCTGAAGAATTTTCAAAGTTAGCAAGCAGTACAAAGAAACGGAACCATAAGTGGGTCTGTTCTATTTGCCTTAAAAATGATGTCAGTATTATACTAGATGAACAGGAAGTCAGTGCAAATGGAACGGAAATCAAGGATCCGGAAGTAAATCGAATGGAATTGCTCTTTCAAAAATACTTTTTGCCCTTTAAAAACGAGATGGAGAGGAAACTTGAGGTTATAGTGAATAGCTTAGAGTTGATAAAACATGAGAATAGCCAACTTAGAGCAGAAAATAAATCACTTAATGATAAAATTTCTGAATTGAACAAGCAGTACCTTGAGAACCCACCACTCACCGAAGAAATAATCCAGGAACTACATGAGAGACAGCGAAGAGAACACAACGTAATAGCCTTTAAATTACCCGAGTCTAACAAAGCAAGTAAAGAGGATAAAGACCGAGAAGATCGTGATAGAATTATTACAGCTATATCTCAACACGTAGAGCTTAATACAGATGATATCAAAACTTTTCGCTTAGGAAGATTCAATAAAGAAAAGATAAGACCAGTAAAAGTTATAATGAACTCTTCCATGGATGCACTGAGACTTGTTCGTAGCAAACCATTATTAGAAAATTATTCTGGTCCAAGTTTCAAGTCTGATTTGACGAGGATGCAGCAGGAACATTTGAGAAAGGTGAGAGAGGATTTAAGAAAATTACAAGAAGAAGGATGTTCAACCAAAACAATCAAATATGTGAATGGCAGTCCTAGGATAGTTGAGAAGACAAATTTTTGAATGGCGGAGGTGGCAATAAAGAATCAATTTCAGTTTGTTATCAAAACGTTCGCGGCCTTCGCACCAAGTGCGCAGGGACTTTTTGTTATCAGTTGCAATTTCGGATTATGATATTATTTGTGTGAGTGAAAGTGGTTTGAACGAAAATTTTAACGATGAATTGGTGGACTCTTCATATTCCGTATTCAGGAAAGATAGGAGCAGCACTACAAGCTCTAAAAATCGCGGAGGGGGAGTCCTAATAGCATGTAAGAACACTTTTAATGCTGTGGAAACATCTTCCACAAACAATAATGTTGAACAAGTTTTTATTCATTTTACATATAA